TTGCATGAATCATGATCCGAAGTATGAGTAGATGTATGTGGAACATGAGTTGGGACAACTTCAATTTCAACAGCAAATAGATTAATGTAAATAAGATTAGACTTAGTCATGTTATGAGAACTAGCGGGAATAGAAAAGAAAGGTACACGTTTAAGAAACATAACATGATGACATGCATAAAATTTTACTAACGGATCAAAACAACAATATCCTTTTTTTCGTGCACGATACCCATAAAGACACATATAGCATATCTAGAGGATAACTCACTACGCTTGACATGAGGTCAAAGGACAAAACAGATAGAGCTAAAGACACGTATGGAAGAATAATCAAGAACATATACATACAACTTCTCAAAATGAGACAAAACTGAATTGCGTGAGGATGGGATCCTATTAATCAAATAAGCAGCAATAAGAATTGCTTCTTCCCGAAATTCACTTGGAGTAGAAGTAGAGAGTAAAAGAGAGTGTGCTCTCAACAAGATGTCTATGTTTCCTTTTGACAACACCATTTGGTTCGAGAGTATTTGTACAAGTGGTTTGGTGAATGGTTCCATCAGAAGCAAGCAAATCAGAAAAGGCATTAGAGGTATACGCTCCACCCAAATCACATCGAAAACATTTGATAATAGCAGAATGTTGAGTTTTTATAAGTGCTCTAAATGTACTGAATATATTAAAGAAGTCAGGACTACGTTTCATAAGAAAACCCCAACAATAATAAGTATAATCATCAATAAAGGAAAATAAAATCGTGAAGCCTCTTTAATGGTAACGGGAGAAAGTCCCCATACATCATAATGAACAACACCTTACAAAAGACTTGGCAGATAATGAAACAAAAGATGATAAATTAGGTGACATGTGATGGGAAGCCCCATAATCTTAAACCCACAGAGAGGATGATATACCTGAAGAACTAGAAGATGACAAACCTATAAGAGAGGCAGACATTTCATGTGGCAGTGTTGCATTTAACTGTATGCCGAAACTTCTGAAACTACACAAACATGAGTGGATCTACTGATGTGCTAGCCGCTGCAGTATTACGTTGAGGTGGTTGGTTTCCAAATTTCCATGGTGGAAGAGCCTGTCGTTGCTGCTATTGTTGGGGTCGATGTTATTGCTATCATTGTTGATGTTGCTGCTATGTAGTTCTATTCAACAATATAGAGCATTGCCCTTTTCAGTGACCCTTCTGCTTACAGAAATGAAATTCATCATGAGAGACATTCAAAGATGACCTACTTTAATTATTGGCATATGATCTCTGAGGTACTGCAAATACAAATGGTGTAGTAGATGATGGAGTAGTCCTATCATCTGCATGAGATTTGAGACGTATCTCCTCAGCCAACAAACAATTCACTAACCATAGAATCAACAGAAGATAGAAGACTACGATGTAAGATTGTCCCACGAAATCTCTCAAAATCATCATGTAGGGCCATAAAAACCGCATCAATCGTTGTTCTTCCCTTCATGCGATATAGGGAGCAAATGCTTGTAAATATGTAAATTCTATAAGTGTCAATTGATCCCATAAATCTATTATAGTATAGTAGAACTCTTGAACACTCATACTTTTTGTTGAAAGGCGCAATATCTGCCTCTAACTGATACTATTTTGCAAAATTAGACTGCATGTATAGTCTAGCAAGATGCTCCCGAACTTCCTTAGTAGTATCCTACTTAGCCAATTGTGTGCCTATCAATTGTACAACTGAATAATTAATCCAAGTAATAGTCTTTGGATTATCAGGTTCCCAATTATCTACAAACTCCACATAATTGACAACCTTATCATTTTTTGGTTTAATAGAAGTACTCAAAATATAACCTCACATCTTTTTGCACTCAAAATATTCCTCATTGCATAACTCCAATAAGAATAATTATTCTCATTTAATTGCACGCTAATAGACTGGAAAGAATCATCCCGACTTCCAATCATTGTGAAATAAACAAATAATTACCAATATGAAAAACACACAATAACGAGATGCGAAATCAAACTAGAATAAAATGAGAATCTATGGAAGCCAAAATCACTGTACTGTATGATCGTTGAACAAAAATTATGTATAGATACAAGTTTGTGTGACATTCAAAGGAGGGGAAATCGCTAGGAGAAATGGAAGGGATCGTTTTGGAATTTAAAAAAAAAAAGGTCTGAGTCCTGTCTATTGGCAAGAATTCCTTTTCTTTTTACTTGGCAAATGGAGAAGTTATTTCACTGTAGGGGTAATTGTAACATTACATCTTTTAACAATTTAGGTAAATTTTATTTGCGGTCACTGAACCTCCAACAAAATTTCAATTTAGTCAATGAACTTCGATTTAATTTCAAAATTGTAACCACTTTTCGTATCTAAAATTGTTTCATTATCACAACGGGTCTTTATCACTAGGTGAATATCAAATTGCAAATACATCACATCATAAAGTGTTAAAACAAAAACATATCTTTTAACATTTTAATTTAGGATTAATGTACTTGTACAGCTACTTTCTATACCTTGGGTTACACTCCTTTATGTGTCAAAAATTTGGCCATTCATTGAAAACGATGTTAAAATCAATGCACCAAAATATATCAATAGCTAATTCTGCACATAGAAGTTAAAATTGAAATTTTGTTGACTTCCTATGACTACAAATGAAATTTACCCTACTAACTTGCAATTGGAAACCATGAAAAATAAAAGGATTGCTTGGCAGGAGGTAAATTTCTACAATACTAGATATTTAATATTTACAGTTTTTTTCTCTATAAAAACATAAATGCATCTATCATTTTCACTCCAAAATAAGATGAAACGAGGCACTTTAAAAACACTTCTCCTTTTTCTTGTTTCTATAAAAAGCTCCAAATCAAGCTTGGGAATGAAAACGTTATTCCTTTCCGAGAGGCAACCAGAATTATTAAGTGGGTCTTGTTTTTATGAATAACAATGAAGATACATGCATCGTCTATATTTTCCTAGTTGAATGATATTTGTTGCGGAACTTGAATTTTATTTCAATTTTTCATAATTCTATCACATTTCGTATCTCAAATTGAGGAAAATTGCTTTATTGATAGTCATACCACAACTTCCTCCAAAAGGACACTTTTTCAAGGGGAAATAAGTAAGCTTTTTACTCATGGGATTCTCTTGTAGTTAAAGTATAGTTTTAAATAGACATTATCAATATGTTGACATTCGAACCTGGTGAGACTCAGTTATCAACAAATCTCAGTTCAACTCTCGTTCACGTGTGTTTTACATGCATATTTTTGTACACCATATTTGATTGTACAAGATCGTAGCCCTAATAGGGATACGATGGTCGTGTACATTTGGACACTCGAGTTAGACAATAGAAAATATTTGGTGAGAGAGAAACAAATGGATGAAAATATGGGTTCCGGGGTTTGAAATTACTTTTTAATCTCGCATTAAGATACATTTGAACGAGAGAGAGGGGGGGGGGGTCAAATATTTATAGGCAAAAGAGACCCCCTTAATATTAGACACATGACCTTGTCTTAACTATTCATTGACGACTTAATGGTGGCAATTCATGATCATCATATGCACGTGACCTTGAGCCCAACATAGGCCGAAAAATTGGATGCTATCCATAATTATTCCTAATGGATCACTTGGAAATAAATGCATTTTTTATTTGGATGCTATTTATAAATATTCCTAGATGTAGTTTTGTATGTAGCGATGACAGTTTTACTGTTTTTTTAATCTTTTTCTTGTAAATGACTATTTTTTTAAAGATGAAAAGTTTCATGCCGGGTCGGGCTTAATCTTGGAGAAGATAAAGGGTTGTGGGTAAATTTTTAATATTTTCATAATTATTTTTTTAAGTAATATATTTAGTTGGTTGAAATATCCTAAAAAGAGAGAGCTATGATGCACATGACACTCTGATACAACTACTTACAATGCACGTGTTCTTGACTAATAATTATAAAGATGATTTTGTTTTTTGATATATTACATATTTTCTGATTAAACTTTAACCATATCCCATAAAATATTTTAAAATTTGTATTTTAATTAAGTTAGCGCATCATTATTATTTTATTAATGTCGTATTATTTAAAATTATTATTTAAATTATACACATTATGTGTTGTTTCTGTAATATAATTGAACACATAACGTCCATTTGTTACTCTGTACTTAAATTTGGATATGTTTAACGAATCAAAGGGGGAGTTTTCTTCACCAAAAATGTCAATTCTACCATCAGGGCCCATCAAGTTGAGAAATTCTGTTTTGAGACTGTTGGAACGACTTTATATGATTCAAAATACCTTGTTTCATATAGAGAGCCTTTTTAGAAAAGTACAAAATTTGAATTTTCTAAAACAATTATTAAAAGTTAATTATTAAACAATCACTTTCGATTTTAACAAAATATCTATTATTTTAATCAAAATAACTTTTGCCTTTCAACATGTTCTTTTGGACTATGAGTAAGCATTCAAAAAATACACTACGATCGGAGTTGATTAGTCTTTTGTCGTGTAGTTACCACGAAATCAGGTCTTACCATTTGGAATATTTGTTCTGAATTGCACCCTTTACTCCATTTACCCCTTTTCTTGCTTGAAAACTCCTGGTCTATGATATTTTTACTTGGCCTCATATGTAGCATTTTCCGTAGAAAAATCATCTGTAGCATTAAAATGTATTTACAAACTCAATTGTAAAGAATAATTGGTAGACAACAAAAACTGATATTCATCTTAATGTAAGCATTTGAACTCGCAATTTGAAAGCAAATATTTCTATTCGAAAATAAAGCATCTAAGCACTACAGTTGATGCCATTATTCATCCACATACTGAGAGAAATGATCAAGTTTCGGATTAAGAAAACCAGACTCTTAAATTACAACACTCAAGATTTTGATCCTAAAAAGACTGTATAAACACCCTTACTGCATGGTACAGATCTGTTTCCTCTATACACCAACTAGAAATGCAGACTAAAGCTGTGCTACTCCTTCAGGTTCAAACAACTGCCTCAGTACAGGAGCTTCGAGCAGAAATATATCATCATATGGATTGTCCTGCCTCACATCTATGCATTTCCCAGTTTTCAAAACCTGCAAGACATCCATAAATTCGAAATTTGACATATTCAAACTCATCGACCTTTAATGCATTACTCGCAGCAATGTATTCATGTACTATTCAATTAAACAAACAAGCTATAAAGGCACAAATAGACCAAAAGGCAATTACCAGTACTTCGTAGAATAGCCTCGCACTTCCTTTCTTGGTTTTTCCTTCGAGAACCTGCGACAATTTCACTACAGCATCCTCTCTGCATATCTTTCTTCTTACAAAGTTTCCATACAGATATCTTGCAATCGTTCTGCATAGCACACAATGGAAATAAAACCAAAAGGCCTTTAACACACACACACATGCACAGAAAGAGAGAGAGAGTTTGTCATACTTTGTTCTTGCAGAAAGCATATCTGCAATTAACAAAAAGAGTAATGAAAATGCCATACAGCTAGGAAAAGTAAATAAATAAAATCATGACAGAACAAATAAGCCCTTTTTGGAAGTGATTATGTGAAAATCACCTTCCCCCACACGTGTAATGAAAATGCCATACAGCTAGGAAAAGTAAATAAATAAAATATGACAGAACAAATCCCCTTTTTGGAAGTGATTATGTGAAAATTACCTTCCCCCACACGTCCTCCCAAAAATATATCAGTTTTCAAGTCCCCTTGTAACTTTCCTTACTTTTTGATAGACCCCCCCATAAGATTCACATATGCAAGGAAGAAGAAGGGAGTGGTTACAACCAACATGAGGGATGCCAACTCAGCTTCAGTTAGTTAACAGAGGGTATAATGGTCATGGTGTTGTATTTAAGGGAAATGAATACAATGTGGATGGGAGGGGAATGTAGGTAGGTCTTTACTGACTTTCAGTTAGAGAGGGGGAGAGACCAGGCCTCTCTAATAGCCTTGGAATTTGTTTGTGATTTTAAAGTTCAATCAATCATCTTCATAAACCATTGGTGATCTTTCGGTATTCTTAGCTGTTTGCTTTCAAATTTCTAGCAAAGGAGTTCATCTATTGGGCTGAGTTATTTAAAGCACAGGGACTGTCCTTAAAACATAGTACTGTCTACCATTCACAAACGGATGGACAGACCGAAGTTGTGAATAGGTGCCTGGAGACATATTTAAGGTGTTTTGCTTCGACCAGGTCTCGAGTTTGGAGACAATTTTTGCATTGGGCTGAGTACTGGTATAACACTTCTTTACATACCTAAATGAAACACTCCCCGTTCCAAATAGTTTGTGGCTGTGATCCACCCCATGTGCTGCCTCTTGAAAGGGGGCTAACACCGTATTCTTCAGTTGAACAACTTTTACTGAAACGAGACGAGATGTTGAAGGAGTTGAAGGTGCAGCATTGTAGAGCACAGCTGTGGATGAAAGAGGCTCATCGCCGTGATGTCCAGTTCGAGATCGGGGACGTGGTTTATCTCAAACTTTGGCCCTATTGTCAGAAATCTTTGGCCAAGCATCAGTATGAGAAGTTGTCTACTCATTACTATAGTCCCTTCGAGGTTGAGTCGAAGGTGGAAAGGGTAGCATACAGATTAAAACTCCCTGTTTCAGCAGCTATTCATCCCGTTTTCCATGTATCCCAACTGCGTAAGGCCATTGGTGATGTCAAGCCCATTTTAGCCCTTCCTCCATAGCTTTCTACTACGGAAGAATTCATCTTGGAACTAGAGACTTTTCTTGGAGTTCGCCCTAATCCTACCCACATTGCTGCAGGTCCTCACATTTTGATCAAGTGGAAGAATCTCCCAGATTATGAGGCAACTTGGGAGCCCTTTGAGACAATTCGAGTGCAGTTTCCTACCTTCCATCTTGATGACAATGTGGATCTTGGGGCGGAGGGTACTGATAGACCCCCCATAAGATTCACATATGCAAGGAAGAAGAAGGGAGTGATTACAACCAATATGAGGGATGCCAACTCAGCTTCAGTTAGTTAATAGAGGTATAATGGTCGTAGTGTTGTAGTAAGGGAAATGAATAAAATGTGGATGGGAGGGGAATGTAGGTAGGCTTTTACTGACTTTCAGTTAGAGAGGGGGAGAGACCAGGCCTCTCTAATAGCCTTGGAATTTGTTTGTGATTTTAAAGTTCAATCAATCATCTTCATAAACCATTTGTGATCTCTTGGTATTCCTTTTCTCGCAGATTTTCAGCCAAGGAATTCATCTATTAAGTTACAGCAACCGCGGTTCTCACACTTTTTAACTACACATTCTCCAAAAAATCACTTTTCTAATAATCACTTTCACACAAGCACTAAGCAAATAAAATAAATTTCTTACTTTTTTCCTGGCCAGTTTCTTCAGATGAATCTGTTTCCTGATAAAAGCATAGAAGAAACATTTAGTTTCTCACGTGCCAAGTTGTACAACTCAAAAAAGAAAAACCTATGGCAATTCAAACTGTAGAAGACTTTAATGCGAGAATCATATATAGCAACAATTTTTTTTAATTTTTTTTTACTTATAAGAAAAAGTAACTTAATCATAAACACATTAAAAAAATATTATATCCAAATAAGTTTGATTTCAGTTAAGCATATCCAAACATGCTCCTAACTGGAAATTTGTAATGAGTGTGAACTACAGTGTAGAGCCCAAAAGATAAAAAAAATTTATACCTCATTCATTAAAGAAACATTCAATTTTAGGTCTTCACTCAGAGAAGACACCTTCTTCGAGATTTCATTTGAGGTTGAAGGTTCCACAATGTCAGAAACTCCTTTGCTCTCCTGCACTCTCGGTGAGGTTGAATGAGTTACAGGAGTTGCAGGAACCAGTGGAGTTTGTTCTCGAGATTTGGGTGTAATAGAGGATCTTGCTCCTTTGCTCTCCTGCACTTGCGGTGTGGTTGAATGAGTTACAGGAGTTGCAGGAACCATTGGAGTTTGTTCTCGAGATTTAGGTGTAATAGAGGATCCTGCTCCATTTTGACTTGCAAATATTTCCACAGCTTCAATTGGCTCAGTTGGCAATATCTTTTTGCATTCAAGAGATCGAAGATCTAACGGGATACCTGCACACAGCATGTACATAACCAGGGTGAAAATATTACAATGAAATTGGTTCTATAACCTTTTATTATAGCTGCACCATCAGTGTCCCCAGTGACAGTAAACATTGTCAGCCCTCAAGGAAACATGCCTTCACTTCAAATTTCTAGAAAATAAATCTAGCATCACATAGTGATACATGAAGGCACGTGAAGAACTAATGGAGATTTGAGTGGTTTCCCTTGGTAGGACTGATAATACAACTATGCAACAACTTGCTCCATTGAAAGTTCGATTGCAAGCAATAAGTTAAGGACAATAGTACATGCCAATTTTACTTGTTGCGGCTTGCGCAAAACTACCAAAACGACCAAACAAACTCACAGGGAAACAGAGGATCCAAGAAAGTCTGAGGGAGATTAGAAAGTTTATGAGCTCTCCAGGTATGTAAAATGGTACAAGGAGCATTCTTTCTCTTACATACTAAGTTACTTGTATCATCTATCCATTGCTTGAACATCCTACAAAATTAGAAGATAATTTTTAGCATAAGTTTCACTTAGACTCCATTCGGGAAGTATTTATAAACAATTTAATATATAAACAAACAGAAATGAGTGGTAGATATTACTTGTGGGTCCATTGGATTGTATGGTTAAAATGAAGTTTGACCATTTATAAATGATTTAAAAATATTTTCCGAAAGGAGGCTTAAATTTCAGCATACATTCCTTGAACAAGCGCCAAACTGAAGATTAGAATTAAACAGATAATAGTTTGAAACAAAAAAGACCATTTGATGAGAGTACCCAGATCCTATGCTTCATTGCATGTTTACAATGCTCAACATCAAAATACAATTTTGGCTGAGCTTGCTTTTAAATGACTTCTTAGAGCCCGTTTGGTACACATTAAAATGAGAGAATGCATTTTTTTGAAGTGATGTGANGTAGTGTGATGTAGAATATGTGGTTGAAAAAGAAGGAAAAGTTATTGATGTGATGGAAAATATTATTTTATTGAAGAATGTGTGGTTGAAAATGAGTAGAAGAATGAGAATGAAAAAAATAATATGGCCCAAACAGGGGCTTATTTGCATAGATACATTTTTCTTATTTCTAAGTAAAGCAAGTTACTTATTTTTGAAGTAGTTCTTACCTTGTTATTTCTTACCTTGTTATTTCTAATTTTACCAATAAAAAATATTTTATTTTAAAACTTGTTTATAAGTATAAATTTTAACTAAACACATGCTCAACATAAGAATCATATTTTTTTTATCTCCAAGACATGCATTGCCATTGTGAATACGAAATCTAAAGTTTCAGCTTCAGTTGAAACCTTGGTCAAAGACTCAAAATTATAAGTTATAGCACATACTTGTTAGGTACTGCAATGATGTCGTCGAACGAACACTTACGCTTCTTCAGAACTTTCGCACGCTCCTTGGGAGCTGGAGTGTGAATAACCATAATCTCCGGTGTAGCAGTGCCTGCATTTAAGAAACCAGAATCATGAAGAAAGAAGTAACTTGATGGCATCTTTTCACTATGAAACTGTACTCATTACCTACTAACAAAACAAGTATCTACTAACAACACAAAATACCAGAGAATTTAGCATGCAAACAAGGTAAGATATATCATCCGTTTGAGAGATGAAATTGGAAACCAGAGAGAGAAATAAGAATGCCAATATGGTAAAAAAATTGGTATTCCGGTCCATATCATATCTCTGTCCCCACACCAATTAATTTAGTAGACTTAAATGTTGAATACTAAGTCCTTGTTTGAGCCCCATTATTTAAAAATTTATTTTTTTCAAAATTTATTTTCAACCGCATATTCTCTCAATAAAATAATTTGCACGTAAATCCAAAATATTTGCCTACTTTTAACCATCACTCTCGCAAAAATCAATATTACAAAACCATTTTTTTTTTTTGTGAAAAAAGGGCTCAAACTGGGGATAAATTCAAATAAATATATCCTCTCTCACACATACAAGCAGGTTGACGCACACAATTTTCATGCACGGGTGATAGTGGAATTTGAACACAAGATTGCATGCTGGTGTTCAATGCGTTATAAGAACAAAATATTGGTCTAAATTAGAATGCACAAACCACCAGGATCCTTTGAATCTGAAGTTACATCAACTGCAATGGATGTTGAATACTCTTCTATAATCCGACATTTTCTGCTATCTAATAGAGTAATTTCTGGGAGTCTCATGTGCTCTGCATCAGCTGCCTTATTTTTATCATATGACCTAGAAAGATCACGTGGTTCGTTTTCTTGTAAGTTCGATTTACTCATAGGATGCTCTGTCTTCTCTGTCGCAACCTCATTCTCTTCATCAGATAGTCTATCATGGCCTTGTTCATTTTCAGCCTCATCCAATACCATAGGATCCAGACGATCTTCTAGAAAGAATTCTGTCCCACGAAATATCTCCATGCTTGCTAGTGAGTTGCTCATATTATGTGATTGGTTTACAACCAATTGTCTGTCCACAGGATAAGGACAGTACACACTGCAAATGGGAATGTACATACTTTTAGTCGACAGAATTCTATATTGCTCTTCTCAATGGAGGAAATACCTGATCTGAAATACTTACTCTCTAACTGGAGTGTAAGCAGATGAATAAGCTTCAGAAAAGGAAATATTCTCTTCATGATGATCCTGATATTCCAAAAAAGAATTTGTATTCTTGTTAAAACACATCTATTTCGACATCTTTGTGCTTGGTCGAGGGAATTTTAACAATGGACAACCCTAAAGGCCTTTTTGATTGGGATGTCCACAAAAGAATCCAAACAGAGTAATAATCAATGCTGCCTCAGGGTTACATTGTTACTTAAAAGAATGAAATCAAATTTATAAATTCAGGTTTCCATCAAGAGCTTCGATACATGCAGTATCCAAAGGCCATCCTTTCTTATATAACAAACGATGGCGGACAAGAAAGAATAGACAACACTAAGTGATCAAATACTCGATAATGCAAGCCGTGCATCACTCCAAGCATGCATTTCTTTTCACACAAATTTACCATTCACTCATTTAATGAAAATGAAAATATTGATAATAAATATTCTATATTAGAATGAAAACAGTACATAGATATCACAACATCAAAGGAAGTATAATGCAAGAAAAGATATTCAAACATGTACCCTGTCAAGTTGGTCAACTGTGTTGCCCTCCTTCCTCAATTCGTCTGACCAGTGAAAATGCTAAGTTATGCCAAACTGCAAATAATAAATAATAAGAGTGTATAGATGGAGAGATAAAATACCAGCAAGCATGATGTCTTCACGAGATCTCACATTTCCACTGCATAACAAAATATACAAAAACAGAAGTTTGTAACCCATTGTTGCAAGTACCAGTATCTATCCAAAACCGTAATTTAAAAGGCATAGACAGAACAAAATAGTAAATAGAACTCAAATGTTGACTCACTCGATTGCATCTTGATCTTCCATGACTTCTAGGTCAAAAGCATCAAGTTCAAATCTCTTAGGAAAGGTGATGGAGTAATGAGAAGCACACATACCTCCAATACTTTCACCTTTCCTTTTGCCAACCTTAAAGTTACTGAGTTTAGCCACAACACCATGGCAGTCGTGGAACAGATACTCGACTTTCTTTGAGTATATTCTCACAACACCCAGAAGAAGATAGGCTAATATTCGATATGTTACCACCGGAACTTCATCAAGTAAAATCTTATCTGCATGAAGAAATTAGATTAGATTAGATAAATCAGAAACAGAGTATTAGATATATGAATACAAAACTTACTGATGGAAAAAATAATTCGAATTCATACCACACAAATTATTATCTACCGTTCATAATGGCAAAGAAAGAGAAAATTTGGTGATATCAAGTAAGTGGGAACCTCTTTAATCTGTTTATACAAGTCTTAAAATGTTGATACGTAATACATTTTCTTCCAAGTCATCAAATGTGATTACAATACAATTACTGTTAGGATATACCGCAGGGGCGGAGCCAGCCTTTCAAACTATGGGGGTCCTGGAGTTGAAGGGGCGGGGGGCTCCCGCTGCCCCCGAAATTTTTTTTTAAAAACATTATCTGTTAAAATGAGGAAAGTTGGTACTTTGTGATGGAGAAATGAAACAAATGAACATAAATTAATGTANGACCCCCCTCCCCTCCGCCCCTGTATACCAAATAACTTCCAGTATCACCTTCAGTTACTTGTATGCTAGGCTTCACTACAACTAGCAAGCATACCGTTACCAAACAATTATCTTTCTTCTCTGAATAATAATTTATTTATGGTTTAAAAAAAGCCAAAAAAAAAACCAATGAGAAAAAAAAATATTTGATCAGACGAGCAGCACAAGGCTGCCTGCAAGAGAATGAAAATCATGGAAAGCTTTACCTAAAGCTATATTAAACCTGCTCTGGCACCCTATACTGCTACATTAAATAAATGAAGAGAACTCCTATTGATATCAAAACAATAAAATTTGTAAAAAGGCTACTAGCTTATGATAAAAAACGAACGTGGCAAGATAACATACGGTAACAATCTCCAACACATTTAGCATCAACAAAATCCTTCTCCACTCATTTTAAAAACCCCTACAGTAAGGTTATCATGAATACAAAGAAAGAAGCATATACAAATATATTTTCAATCAGGAATCAACGTCCTAAACATATTTACTAATTGCAAACACGTTGACAAAAGAAGCCCAGATATATGAATTAAGGGAAACCAAACACGAACTAGTAATTGTCAACGACTGTATGTGATGAACACTCAATATTTAAATTAACGTTCTTAAAATTCGACAAAAACTTAAAAACACAGCTCCATTAGTGCATTCAAATCCCAGGGAAGAGGTTAACAAGTCAATAATTCAACAGAAAGTGGAAAAGAATAGCAGAAAAACCTTCTCGATTCATGGGAAAACAAGTGAGAAACTTCAAGAAATTAAAAGAAAAAACAACTTTTAGAAGTTTAGCTTAACATCACACAGTGGGGAAAAAAGGAGGAGAGAGATTAGAGACAGACCCACAGAAGAACAAATATCAGTCTGCTTAACTTGATCTTTCTTAAGCCTTTTGAAACAATGAGCAGCAAACCAAACTGTGCCTAAAGGCCCCTTCTTTGACAGAAGCATTTGTGAGTAAAACATCTTCTTCTCCAATTTCCCCGTCTTTCAACTCTCTCTCTCTGTCTCCCTCGATATATATATGTGGGTGTGAATGTATAGGTGCAAGTTTGTGTGACATTCAAAGGAGGGGGAATGAATCGCTGGGAGAAATGGAAGGGAACGTTTTTTGGAATAAAAACGGTCGTCCTGTCAGAGGTGTATGAGGGAAGTCTCCATATTTTTCAAGATTTTCTTTTTTTTCTTTTTATTTTGGAAAACGGTGAAGTTAATTAGGAGTAAGATTACGATAGTGACCTTTTTTACCAATTGGGTAAATTTTATTTGCAGTCACTGAGCTTTCAAACAAAATTCAATTTAGCCTCTATTTAGTTTGGATAAAAATATGATTTTTAGTAGATTTTGATAAAATAATAATAATAATAATTGTAAATTCTATAAAATATGTGATTGAAAATGAATTTGAGAAAAATAAGCCCCTATTTGGACTTCATTAAATTCAAAATGCATTTTCTCTCTCTCGTCTTTTTAACTATACATTCTCCAATTAAATAATATTACACATAAACTCAAATTTTTTCCTTCTTCTTTAACTACGAATTTTTCAAAAGAATTATTATTCTAAAATACATTTTTCCTTAGAACTTCATGAAGCCTTCATTTGACGAATATTATTTCAAAACTTTTTAATTCTCATACTCATTTTGAAACACACATTCTTCAAAAAATCACTATTGAAAATTCAATTTTCTCAAAATAATGACTATCAAACTGGGCTAAAACAGAGCCCAAACAAGGCTATGTTTTAAGAAATGTGGGCCAAATAGGGATTTAGTCGATGAGCTTTAATTTAATTTCAAATTTCATAACTCATCACATTTTGTATCCAAAATTAATGAAAATTGTTTCATTATTACAATGGATATTTATCTCTGGGTGAAATACCAACTTACCACTACATCATATCATAAAACTGTATATATATGTATAACATTTTTAATGTAAAAAGATTGTCATGATGTTCATCCATATTCGTTTTTAGGATCTAAATGGAGATTACAAAAATGATTAATTATGATATGACTGTCACTAAGCAATTTCTGCCAATTTTAAAACAATAGATGGCGAAATGTGACTAGAACGATGGTTTGACACAAATCTGAAGTTCAATAGAGAATTGAAGTTTAGTAACTCAATTGAAATTTTGCTGAAATTTCTATGACTACAAATGAAATTTACCCTACTAAATTGCAATTGGAAACCATGAAAAATAAAAGGATTGCTTGGCAAGAGGTAAATTTCTACAATTCTAGTCCCTGTTTGGACTCCATTTTTCTAATAATGTATTTTTTTAAAATTATTTTAATCACATTCTCTTACAAAATGATGTTACATTTAAATTCAAAAAAAAAAAAAAAAAATCCTTATTTTTAAATATATATTCTAAAAAAAAAAAAATCATTATTTCAAAATACATTTTTCCTAAAATTTCATTTTAATGTAGACCAAACAGTAGCATAGTATATACATTATTATAATTACTATTTTATGAGGTTTGCAAGTAGCTAAACAAGTCTAAAGGCGTACAGTGGGAATTAGGCTTTCAAGTCACTATCGGAAAGAAAATATAACACGTTTTTGCGAGTCGATATTTTATATTGATTATTTATCTTGTCCATGTTTGATTCTCATTATCTAAAAATTCATTTTTTAACTTATTTTTAACCATATATTTTCTCAATAAAATAATTTGTACGTAAACTTAAAATTTGTTCATACTTTTTAATCACACATATAAATTTTTTTTTTTTTTGTGAAAAATGAAACTCAAACAAGAGCTTTATGTTACATCTCACATACTAGCTATCACCGTCTCTTTATATTTTTTTCTCTATATAATTTAAATGTATCATGTATGGGTCATTCTCCATTCAAATAAAATAAAACGAGTACTTTAAAAATACTTTTTCTTGTTTCTATAAAAGCGCAAATTAAGCGTCGAAATAAAGACGTTATTTCCTTTAATAAGGCAACAAGAATTACGGAGTTTACTACTTGTACGATTTGTTTACACTTTTCTTTACAGAATGCTGGGTCGGTGAGCATTTTCACGTTATTTGGATCACTTTCATATTAAACTAGAAAGGTAAATGCTCTTCATGTAAGCATCTGTAAAGTTTTCTGTAATTGAAATCTGTACAAGCAATTTCATCCCAAAATTATCATGCGAGACTTGTTTTTACTGGTAAATCAGTACATGTACTTTCTATATATATATTTTTAATTGAATACTATTTGTAGATTGAAGGGGCTCTTTGTGATTTTAGAAAATGAAAGAGGGCATATTTGTCATTAGAATATTTTCACTGACCGTCAATAGCTAACTTTGAACTTATCCGTTAACAGACGGTAAATGCTACAAAGGGACATTTATCGATTTACCAAAATCCGTACCTATTTAATATTTTCCCTCGTGTGTAAAAGTATTTATTTATTTTAACAGCTCAACGGTTTTGACAGCAGTACGTGTCACCTTCTGGGATTAGGTAATTCTCTAGAATTACACGCGGAAGTATTTTATTGGAAGAAATTGCCACATTTGTAATGAAAAGCAAATTTCACGTGGCCAGATTTTTCTCCTTTGCTTTTGAAATTGTGGTCACAATGGGCTATCTGGTTTTAATCTCATTTACAATAATTTGGATGGAAAAAAAAATGAATTTCTGAGAATTGAATTATCTAGAATTTATTTTATTGAGAATTGTCGATTAATTGTGTTTGATTGATATAATTTTCCATCGAAAAATATTGAAAATTTGGATTTTTCAGTGTTCGTTTGGTTTCGTTTTTCATGAAAATTGTACATTAAAGGAATAAAATCTGTTACAGTTAGGGAAAAAAAATAAAAATAAAAATTTGCCTAGAAAAGCTTTTCCCTCAAAAACCAAGAAAATGTGAGCATATGGGCGAAATATGGAAACCAATTCCTTGAAAAATTTAGGCAATCAAACCTGCAAAAATGCGGAAAATGGAATTTAATTTTCATCTTCCATGGAATTGAAATGCAATTAAATAGGGCCTTAGATGACAAACAAACACAGGCCCGGTTTGTTGCGGATTAAAATCTAATTGTTAAAGTCAAACAATCAATATTAACCACATCTTTCATGGGTTCCACAACTTTTCAATCACACATTTCAAAAATTTCTTTCACAATCTATTAAAAATCTAATTTTAATTCCACCAAACACTCACATAATATGATGGTTAGAGGATTTTCAAGAGAGTATTTTATGCATTATAGAGAGTATTTTTAAAGAGTCAAAATTTTACGTACTCCAACAATCTCTCTATTTTAATTTTTAATTTTTTTTTCAAAAAATATTTATTGATTTCTCATTATATTTTATTTAACATAATTTTGTATATATCAATGACCAATCAATTTAAACTTCCTTTCATCCCATTATTTGAGATTTAATTTTTGAAATAGTATTTTTTTGGAGAATGAATGGTTGAAAAAGAAGGAAAAAAATTTCGATTTGCGTGTAGTATTATTTTATTATTGGAGAATTTGTAGTTGAAAAAAAAAGAGAGAAAAATGTATTAAAATTTTAATGGGACCCAAATGGGGTTTAAGTGTGGTTTGAAGAGTTTAAGTAGTAGATTGTTCAAATATTTGAATGATTAAATACAATCATTATACATTAAAAGCATCACCAAGAGACTCAAAAATACTCTCTATTTTAAAGAATCAACTCCTAAAATTAAGTTCCAATAGAATTTTTAAATCAATATTTTTAATTTAAAGAGTGCGCACTCTCTAATAGGGATGGCAAAAAAACCCGACAAACCCGATACCCGCGGGGACCCGCCCCGAACGGGGAGAGGAAAACCCGCTTAAACGGGTAACGGGGCGGGGAATTATTCCCCGAGGCGGGGACGGGGCGGGGACGGGTAACGGGGTCCCCGCCCCGCCCCG